TACTGCATAAATATTGTATTTGGATATTATGCTTTGGGACAGCACATTAAAATTGCAAGACGATGCTCTTATCCCAAATTAAAAAGCTGGTCCGTGGAAAGGAAAATCTTGCAAGTTCTCTCACCTGTACTTATCTTCTCTCTCTGGTTAGTCTGTCTGGTTAGGATGTAAGTTTTGAGACACATGATTTAAAATTTCAGATTTTAAGCATGGATTAAGTGCACCAACTGGACTATTAGATAATTAGCAGCAGCCAGAGGCAAGTTAGGATTTTGTTTTCCTAAACTCAGGGGCTTCCTTTAATGGGCCGGTTAGGGCCAGTTTCATTTCAGCAGGGTAGAAGTGTGGGTATAATGAAAAGCCTTCCCTAAGTCACTCCGCAGAGAGAACACGGCTTTGCTAATGAGCTGCTTCTGGGTTTTTACATAGAAATATGAAGGGAAGAACACAGGGATGTGGGACACCGAGGTCTTCTGATTGGCTTCTGCCCTTGACTCCTGTCCCTGGGCTTCCATATATTCATATGTAATGTCCACCCCACACCCTCTTGTTGGATGTAACAGAGTAACTTAGAGGATGTGACAGCTGAAAAGTACCTTAGAGAGGACCTAGGAAGAAAGGCCTGGTGATCTATCCTGAAGATCAGCTAGTGAAAATCCTCTGGATCCCAGTGGTCTGATCCACAACCATTCACGGGGATGGCGATGTTGTCCACCGGGTCGCCTGAGTTGAGGGCCACCTTAATGGCAGCTGACAACAACAGTTCAGAGATACAGTTGGTGGCCTGTGGGCTGGGTTGAATCTAGGGATAAATTTGATTTAGCCAGAAGTGCTACAGAATTTGAGTGCCTTTCCGAACGTGCATTCTCCACGTGTCTGCTGACTCCACTCTCCCACTTTACACAAGTAGAATATCTGTTCGAGCCCTAGAGGCGTTTTGTTTTACAATGCAGACCTAGTCCCACTCTGTCATGTTACCGAGGAGGAAGCTGAGACTCAAGGAGGACCCATCACTAACGGAAGCCATGCAGCTGATTTGCTGGAAAGCCCACTGCAATGCAGGTGGAAAACGCATTGAGCAGAATTAGGTTCGTTCGCCACCAGTATTGACATAGCCGTTTTTTGTTACACCGTCATCAGTTTTGTGAAGGGTTAAGCTTACTGCATCATCTTCCTCAATGAGTGGCCAACATGGAGGGGCAGGTCTTCTGCTCAGGCAGAAGAAAGTGCTAAAGACATGGGTTTATTGATGAGCTTTCACCCAGTCCCTGCCAGCAGATGCCTGTGGATTCCATGCAGTGGGAGGAGTTCTTTCTGGAATTTGGCATGACCAACAGGGTGGGACCATTGCCAGCCTCTACACCCTGAATTCTGGTCATTAAGATAGATCTTTGCTGAGTAGGTGCTTGCACTGCTCTAGGGACTATAAGAGGAGGCAGAAGGGAGGAGACAGGGTCTGTTCTAATGAGAATAGGGTCTACCTGGGAGGGTCTATCTGGGAGGAGACTGGTAACTGTGATCTGGAGACAGAGTGATGAATCTGCCATAGAGGTACAAAGAAGTTTAAATGCAGAATGGAAAGAGGGTGGAGGAGGTGGCGTTTATATGCCACAGTCATGGCTGCCTGCCCATGCCTGGCACCTAAGAACAGTCCCACCCAACATGGTAGTGGTGAAGTTGAAATTATTCTGGCATGTATTAGCAAAGACTATTTGGATTGCAAGTGACAGAATCCCAGCTCAAAATGTCATAAGCGCATGACTGACAAGTCTGAGGGTAGGTCAGGCACAGCATGATCCAGTATTTCAAGCAAAGTCATCAAGACTCAGTCTGGCATCATCACTTTCTCTCTTCTTTTCTTTCTGTGTTTCTTCCTTTATCTGACAACTCCACACTCATGGTGACAAGATGGTGAACAACAGCTCTAGCCTTATATTCTCCTAGCCAAAAATCCCACAGAAAAGACCTCCTTTGCAGTGGTTGCATAAAAACACAAGACCATTATCAATGTCAGCTAGAGTTGCTTGCCCATTCCTGAACTAATCATGGCCGCCGCCAGGCAGATGGAGTACCCTGATGGACTTGGCCTAAGTCTTGTTCCCACTGCTGGTGCTGGGGGTGAGGTGCAAACCCAAGTGATCTGAGGGTTGGGGAAGAGTGGCTGTCCCAAGTAAACCCAAGGTATGGTTCCAAGAAAAGTCAGGAATGCATGCTGGGCAGCCAAAACAACATACAACCACCACAAACTGTGTCTACAGCCCAGAGCAACCTCCTGCTTAAGTCATGCTGGTCTGCTCCCCTGGCTCCACACCTTTGGTTAGACTGTTCCCTGTGTGTAGAATGTCCACGTCCTCTTCTTCGTTCAACATTCACTGCCAACTCAGGTTCTATCTCTTCTATCATCTTCTTCCTCATCCTGACCTCCAAACCCATGATGTCTCTGGCTTTTTTGACCTTTCTCTGTTACTTATCTTTCTGAAAGTTCCTTGAAACTCCTTTAAACCATGATTATTTGTGCCTATGTGATGTCTCCTGAGAGTTCCTGTAAGGTAGGGACTGTGGTTCATCCAGCTTCCTGTCCTTCACTGAACCTGAGACAAGGCTGGGTGTGTGTGTGCTGGGCATGCATTTGCTTGTTGGTGCATTGAGTTCATCCATTTATTCAGCAGAGACTAAGTACTAACTGTGTACCAAACACACAGTGTTGAGCAAACGCAAATACAACACTCGCTTTCATGGAGCTTAGAAGACGCAGACAATCAAAGAATCACATGGTTATGTAATGCCAGGCTGTGAGTTTACACATCTATAAAACTGGATTCATAAAAGTACTGTCTCAAGTTTTCATGAGAGTTAAAATAGGTGATCCACATAGAGCCCTTGGAATGGTAATGCTCAGTACGTTTTAGCCACCGTAATGATGACATGATGTTGATGATGAGGATCGAGATGGTAATGATGATAATGACAATGATGATGATGAAGATGGTGATGTTGACAATGATGATGATGAAGATGGTGATGTTGATGATGATGTTGATCATCATGGTGATGAGGGTGATGAGAGGACGGAAGAAACCATGGTGGTATATGATTGTATATCAGGACTAAGGGAGTGACTTTGGAACTGCAATCTAATGGATAAATTGGAGTTAATTAGGGCAGTATGGGGTGGCGGTGGGGGAAGAGAATTCCAGGCATGTACACAAGCCTTGACCAGAAACCTAATTATAATATTGGGAACTTGGAATAGGGAAGTTGTAGTGGTGACAATGGGGAGAAGCGTTCAGAAAGGTGAGTTATTAATAAAGGCTTGAGAAACCCAGATTGCTGAATGTTTGTAAGGATCAGCAGGCTGGAGGACCAGAAAGCTGCCTGGATCAGGAGATCGCTAGAGTAAGCTCCCAGCTAGACAGCCAGGTCCTTAGAAGCAAGGATCATCCTTACTTCTCTTCGGCTCCCCCACCAGGGGCCAGTGCAATGCCTGGCACATAGTAGGTGCCGAATGAATGCTAAATGTGCTTGAATTGAGAGTTTGGGCCAGAAGGCTCACTCTAGCTCTGTCCACCCTCCCAATACACCCACCTTACCACCTCTGTGACCTGAAAGCTTTGGTTTCTGCACCTACAAAATGGAAATGCCGGTTCTGCCCTCCCTGCCTTGTGAAATTCTGATGACATGATTATATACTCTGGAGTAGGAGTTATTAACCTGGGGTTCATAGGGTCTATGACATTGGATGGTAAAAAAAAAAAATGGTATCTTTATTTTCACTGACCTCTAGCTGAAATCTAGCTAAGTGGAGACAACAAACCACAGTAGAACTGTGACTTTGCAACCAGTGGAAATCACATCTTTTCATATCACATTATAAACCAAAAAACCAAACCCACTGCCGTCGAGTTGATTCTGACTCATAGCAACCCTATAGGATAGAGTAGAACTGCCCCATAGGGTTTCCAAGGCTGAAATGTGGAAGCAGACTGCCACATCTTTCTCCCAAGGAGTGGTGGGTAGGTGTGAACCACTGATCTTTTGGTTGGCAGTCAAGTGCTTTAACCACTGTGCCACTAGGGCTCCTTATAGTTAGTACAGATACCTCTAAATATTATTTATGCTGACCATTTCTTCCAAATTACAGTAAGGATTAGACCTGCCACTAGATCGTATTGTTTAATGTGTTCATTAAAAAGCACGTGTTTGACTATACTATATATTTGGTGGTTTTTAAAAAAATATTTTGCAGTCCTGTATTTTTATTGGATGCATTCCAAAAACCAAAAACCAAAGCCATTGCCGTCAAGATGATTCCAACTCATAGCGACCCTATAGGACAGAGTAAAACTGACCCATAGGGTTTCCAAAGCTGTATATTTTTACAGAAGCAGACTGGTACATCTTTCTCCCAAGGAGCAGCTGGTGGGTTCGAACCGCTGACTTTTTGGTTAGCAGCCAAGCACATTTAAGAGCATTATTCTGAGATGGGTATATTCAGCAAACTGCCAGGGCATCCATGGCACCAAATGGTTATTTTTAAAGTTCTCTAGAGAAGAAATGGAGCCCTGGTGGTGCAGTGGCTAAGAGCTACAGCCACTAACCAAAAGTTTGGCAGTTCAGATCCACCAGCTACTCCTTGGAAACCCCATGGGGCACTTCTACTCTGTCCTGTAGGGTCGCTATAAGTTGGAATTGACTCGACGGCAACAGATTTTGTTTTTTGTTTTTTGTTTTCAAGAGAAGAAGTAGTTGCGGCTGATGAGAATCACCATCTAACTGTGTGGTCTTGGTTAAGTCCCCTAACCTCTCTGTGCTTCAGTTTCGCCATATGTGAAATGGGGGTAATAAGGGTACCTGCCTCATAGGGATGGTGTGACGCTCAGGTGAGCCCATGGCTCAGTACCTGGCACATGGCAAATTCAGTAAGTGGTATGATTGCTGTAATAGTGGGGGGCCCTTCTCTCGGAGGACCTTTGGGCTACGGGCTGCTTTGTCCCTCGCAGGTTTATCCGGAAACAAGGCCTGGACCGGCTCTTCCTGGAGTGTGATGCCCATATGTGGCGCCTGGGGGATCGGCGGATCCCAGAGGGCATTGCTGTGGATGGCGGCTCCGATTGGTTCCTGCTGAACCGGAAGTTTGTGGAATATGTGACGTTCTCCACAGACGATCTGGTGACCAAGATGAAGCAATTCTACTCCTACACCCTGCTTCCTGCCGAGGTGAGTGTCCCAGGAAAGGTCGGGGTAGGCTGTAGCCTTTGGAGCGAAACAGATGCTGAAGCCTTGGCAGAGCGCTGCTGTGCCGACATGCACAGTGCCCTGGGCAGAGGGGAGCTCTGCTGGCATTGCACGGCCTCCTCTGGTCTGCACGGAGGTGGTATGGGGTAGACCCACAGTGTTGTCACCAGCAATCCACACAGCACCTGTATGCAAGGTAGAAAAGGCAGCCCCTTCCTCAAGACCCTTAAAACCTGTTAGTCATAAAATCATCATGACATACTAATTTTGTCAGTATAACACAGTTTACTGCCATTTACCTAAAAACCATCACCAAAAAAAAAAAAATCTGATATCTATGATGATGATAGCGTTCCCTAGATGGTGCCATACGTAACCTGCACATGTACAGCCTGCCCTGTCAGGATGCACCCACATCAATGTCAGCCAGCTCCCTCTCAGCCGCCAATCATGTGATAACCACCTTTCATCACCAGGAACCCCTCTTCCCATTTTGAACGTGGCTCTTTCATTCCTTGACAGGAGACAGTGTCAGCTTTGTAGGTCACACCTCAGAAATCTCGGTGATCCCCGGACTCCCACTCGGCCAGCCCTAGCCCCATGTGGCCCCGTGCACGGGGACTCAAGCCTTCCCCCTTTGGCTCCTGGAAACATCTGAAAAGCTCAGGGGAGCCCCTCACCACTTTTTATATCCCAGGGTGGGAAGTCCTGTTGTGTAAGATAGCAAACTCTCCAAAAATACCCACCATCATCGCGAAGTGCAGAGGGGTCCAGTTCTGAAGTGTTGGCGTGGACATGCCAGCTGCCTTGTCAGACCTGGGCTGAGGGATTCTCGATTCATCTTCCCGACATCCAGTTCCCTGTCATCCCAGTTTCCAACTCCAGAGCACTCGAGAGCTGGTCCCGTTTCTGTTAAGCCTGTTACATTACCCATGAGTGCTCCGCTGTCCCTTCCCTGGTCCTGCCCCCAACGCTGGACTCCCCCAGCTGCAGACCAGAGATGACAGTGCATCTCATCCAGCAGTGTCTGGGGCAGTACCCAGCTCTGGTGGGCCTGACTGCCTGTGTCACCCCACAGGCTGGTGGGCTTGTCCTCACCCGGCCAGGTTTCCTATTCTGCGCATATGTTAAGTAATCAGCTTTTAATCCTATTGCAGTGAAAATCACCCTTTCTCTCAATTCTGATCACCTCCTCATCTGTTATCTTGCAGGGAATTTCTGTACCATTATGAAAGGACACAGGGCAGTCAGTAATTGGTATTTTTCCCCATGCTTGATGGAGAATATATGCCTCTGTGGGCTTGTAGACAGGTCAAGCTTAAAATTCTGATTCCTCAGTGTGACAGGAAGGTCATTAAAGGGCAGTGGGTGGAGCCTCATGGGACCCACCCATCCATTTAGGAGAGTTTGGGAGTTTGTTTTTTTAATGAAGATGCCCCTACCTCTCGTGGCCAGTGCTGGTCAGTTCTGCATGTCACTCCTTGCCCGGACACACACAAGCATACTGTATTTTTTACACAAATAACGTTTGTGTTATACATTTTTTTTGCCAACCTCGCCCTCTCCCCCCGCTCGTATTTTCATAAGCATGCTATGCTAATTTTTTTGCATGTTGATGTTGAAAATTAGCATAGCGCACTTAGGAAAATACTTGGGGTGGTACCATTGGCAAGAAAATGTGTAACATGTGTTATTTGTGTAAAAATATGGTAGACACTCAATATTTCTGGCAGGTTCCACCTCTTCCATTCCAGCAGCTCTGTCTTGCTCTCCTGTCTCCCAAACCCTCCTGCCTCAGGGACCAGTTAGAAGAAATTTGAAGACTGTGCCCATAAATTTATAACAGGCAGACACGTCTCCTACCGTACTTCCCCAGGGGGCAAGGAGCAAGAGAAGCATGTGTTTTCCTGTTGTCTGAGATTGATACAATGTTGTTAGTTGCAATTGAGTCGCCTGTGACTCATGGCGACCTTATGTATAACAGAATGAAATGCTGCCTGGTCCTGTGCCATCTTCACGATCGTTGGGATGTTTGAGTCTGTTGTTGTGGCCATTATGTCAGTCCGTCTCACTGAGGGTTTCCCTCGCCTTCACTGGCCTTCCACTTTCCTGAAGATGATGTCCTTCTCCAGCGATCAGTCCCTCCTGATTATGTATATGAAGTAAGCGAGCCGAAGTCTTGGATCATATTCTGTGCTGATCCATAGGGTTTTCATAGGCTTATTTTCGAAAATAGATCGCCAGGCCTTTCTTGCTAGTCTGGAAGCTCTACTGAAACCTGTTCACCATGAGTGACCCTGCTGGTGTTTGGAATACTGGTGGCAGAGCTGCCAGCATTATAGCAACAAGCAAGCTACCACAGTACAACAAACCGACAGTCGGGTAGTGTTATCAAACAGTAACCAAAAAGAAGCATCTCTGTCTCTGTCTCTCTCTCTCTCTCTGTCAGTCTCTCAGCAGCTCCAACCATTGCCTTCCTTTTCACTCCCAACATCACTGCATTCTCAGATTCCTAGGAGAGGCTGGCCAAGAGTCCTAGGGGTGGGAAAACCATGGTGCCTGATCAACAGCATGGACAACAAGCCCTCTCTGCCAGATGTGGTCACATTCCATGAGTGGCTAAGGCAAGAGGGCGCCTGAGATGCCCTCCAGCCCCAGGCCTGATGCATCCATATGCCTGGCCTCCCTCGCCCCCGAGTGAGATTCCAGAACATCCCTTTGTCATCAGGATGGCCCATCCTGAATCTCTTTGGTTTCAGATGTGGCTCTTTGCAAAACAAGGGTTCTTTTGGCCCCAAGTTTTCTGGAAAATTATCCCCATGTTTTCCTCTGGTCCCTGTGTGTTAACATACCCTGAGGGTATTTTCCCATCTGTTGAGCAGACAGAAGATGTCCTGGATGACCAGGGATGTCTTGAAACCAGATTGTAGACTGCTGGGGGAAAGACAAGCTAGAGGAACACTCAGGGCAGTGGACTTCTAAGCAACATGAAGCCCCTCCAGCTGAAACGTTCAGCCGTACCCTGAGGTGGATTCCCAGGGAAGGACCTGCCCAAGCCCACCAGAGAAGGTGGGGCGAGGTCTCAGGCTGGCCCCCTCTCTCCCCTACAGTCTTTCTTCCACACGGTCCTGGAGAACAGCCCCCACTGCGACACCGTGGTGGACAACAACCTACGTATCACCAACTGGAACCGCAAGCTGGGCTGCAAGTGCCAGTACAAGCACATTGTGGACTGGTGCGGCTGCTCCCCCAACGACTTCAAACCACACGACTTCCACCGCTTCCAGGTGAGCGCACCTGACCCCGCAAACCTCTGCAGGCAGCCGAGGCCAGGCCTGCAGGTCGTCATATCCCACAGTTCTCAACCCTGGCCGTTGATAATAGTAATACCATTCTCAACAGTAATCCAAAAACCAAACGCATTGCCGTCAAGTTGATTCATGGTGACCCCAGAGTAGACTTGCGCTCCATAGGGTTTTCTTGGCTGTAATCTTTACAAAAGCAGTTCTCCAGGCCTTTCTTCCATGGAGCCACTAAGTGGGTTTGAACCGCCAACCTTTAGATGGCTTGTGCAGTCTTACTGATCACACCAAGGGTATTCTAACCACTCTGCCTGTATTGACTCATCGACTCCCACAACCACCTTACAAGGTAGGTATTATTGTTGTTATTCCATTTTACAGATAGGGAAACTGAGGGTCAGAAAGAAAGTTCAAGCAACTTGTCCAAGGTCACACAGCAAGTAATGGCAAAACCTTCTTTTCCGCCTGAGGCGTCTGTTTCCAGAGGCTGTGTCCAGTCAGCACAAACTTGAGTAGATCTAGGGCAGAATTTCTCAACCTCAGCACTGTTGACATTTGGGGCTGGATAATTCTTCATGAAGGAGCCCTGGTGGTGCAGTGGCTAAGTGCTTGGCTGCTAACCAAAAGATTGGCAGTTCGAACCCACCAGCTGCTCCTCGGGACAAAGATGTGGCAGTCTGCTCCCTTGAGAACCTTATGGGGCAGTTCTGCTCTGTCCTATAGGATGGCTATGAGTCGGAATACACTCAGTGGCAGCGGGTCTGGTTCTGGTTAATTCTTCGCGCTTGTGGCCGCCCTGGGCGTTGTAGGATGTTTAGCAGCATCCCTGGCCATCCCACTAGTGGCCATAGCACCCCCACCCCCTGCTGTGAAACGAAAAATGTCTCCAGACATCAGCCGATGTGCCCTAGGAGCCAACTCCTCCCTGGCTGAGAACCCCAGACCCCGAGGAGGTCCAGGCGTTTGTATTTTTGATACATTACACTTAGAGAAATTCCGATGAGCAGCCCGGTTTGCAAACCACTGCTCTCGGTGAACTTAGAGGATAACAAAGGGTGGGAATGTTCTTACCAGTCCTGCTGTTTCAGCCAAGCCCAGCCAGTCACAGTCCTGGGAGGAGCAGAGGCAGAAGGGGGATAAATGCTTGTCTGTTACGCTGGTTCCTGAGGGAGCCTCGGCCCCAGGTCCTACCCCAGACAGTAGACTCCCCACCCTGCAGGAGCACCCTCCCCCTGCAGCCAGCACCATGGATGGGAGGGGAGGAGCCTCTCTGAGCCTTTTCCTCCTCCCCCTCTCCATGCCCAGGCCCCAGCTGCCGAGAGCCCAGACAGAACACCAAAATAACGGTTAAACTAATCACTCTGCGGCCAGCAGAGCCAGCCCCTGGAGATAACCTGCTCTTCCCAAACTACCAGCACAGAGGGAGGGCCGGGAAAAGAGTGCCAGGCTGGTAACCTGGCCCCCGGGGCACATCCAGGGGAGGGCATAGCTGCCCGCATCGAGCTTCAGATCTCTTAGTCTGGCTACTCAGAGTGTGGTCATAGACCTGTGGCAGCATCAGCACCACCAGGGAGATTATTAGAAATGCAGACTTTCTGCCTGCTCCAGACCAACTGAATCAGAATCTGCATGTTAACGGGATCCCGGGTGATTAGGATGCTGTTTACATTTGAGAAGCTCTGGACCAGGCTAGATGCTAGGCCCTCTGTGGGCATTGTCTTCACGGGAGTAAATATCATCTCCATTGTGCAGGTGGGGAAACCGAGGCACAGAGACGTGAACTTCTTGCCAGTGGCCATGCAGCTAGTACAGTAGTAGGGTGGGGTCCCACCCCGGTGTTTCTAGGTCCAGTTGTTGTTGTTAGTTGCAGTCCAGACACTTCCGACTGGTGGTGAGCCCATGTGGGCAGAGTAGAACTGCTCCATAGGGTTTTCAAGGCTGTGAACTTCCAGAAGCAGATCACCAGGCCTGTCTTTTCGAGGCCCCTCTGGGTGGGTTTGAACCACCAACCTTTTGAGCACTTAGCCGTTTGCTGCATGCAGGGACTCCTCTAGTCTAGAGCCCAGGCTTTTTCCCCAGGCCCTGCTGCCGTCTTGGTTTTGAACCTACACGGGGTGCAGAACACACAGCAGGCTTTCACCCTGTCGCCCTCGAGCAGTGGTCTTGTACCCACTTGTGGTGGCCACAGTAGGTTTTTTAGGCCTGTTTTTGGTGGCCGATGGAGAGCTACCCAGAGACCTCCTCAAACCCATGTTAATGAAGCATGAATTTGGGTGACATTTTAGCTCTTCCTTGTCCGCACAGAAGGGATCCGCTGAGTAGAAACGGATTGCAGAGGGAATACTTGGCTTATTCAAAAGAAAAAAAAAAAAAAGAATTCCCACTTTTCCCAAAGGAGCTGGCACCCCAGAGACTCCACGTGGTGGTTTCTGGGGGCTCGTTCCACTGCTCCTGGGTGCCAGCGTTTGTATTCAAGCCCAGCATTCTGGGACATTGTGGTCTTTGATCAAGACTGGCCAACCTAGAGAGCCGAGTCATGTGCTTACACCTCCTCCCTTCACAGTAAACAAAGATCAAGACTGTCCCCCAACGCCTCGAATCAAGAAGCTGCTGCTGGTAAGAAGCTTGGAGTTCTCGTTCAAAGAATTCCGAGGAAGAGAATGATAAATATAGAAACATGCCCTTTTACGAAATCCAGCTGCGATCAGAGAGTCGCAGACAGACAAAAGGTGTCCTGCCACTGCGTCCAGTCCTTTCTGCTTCCAGAAAATGAGGACTCACAGCCCCTGGGCAGGCAGGCACCTGGTAGCTTGTTAAAGGGGGTGGTGACAATAGACGTATGATAATCGCGGCTAATGTGCCAGACACTATGCTAAGTACCCATTGACTTGTCACGATGTGGCATTATACCCATTTTAAGGATGAGGAAGCTGAGGCCCTGAGAGGTTGTGACTTGCCCAAAGAAAAACCAAAAACCAAACCAAACCCACAGCTGTCGAGTCAATTCCAATTCATAGTGACCCTATAGGACAGAGTAGAATTGCCCCACAGGGTTTAGTAGGTTTCCAAGGCTGTTCATCTTTACAGAAGCAGAATGCCACATCTTTCTCCCACAGAGCGGCTGCTAGGTTCAAACTTCTGACCTTTCTGTTAGCAGCCAAGCGCTTAACCACTGCACCGCCAGGGCTTGCCCAAAGTCATATACAGCTAGCAAGTAGCAGAGAATTTGAACACAGGTGGTCTCACTCTTTTCAGTGCTCCAGTAAGGGAACTGAAATGGCACCTCCGGCCCTGACAGGGGACTCCAAGGGCCCATGAAGCACAGAGGTGGTGGGACATTTAGAATAACACCAAGAGGTTTCCAGTTACTCAGTTAGCAGCCTGATCCTAGGGTGATGCATTAAAAAGAGCATGGGTTTTGGAGTCATCAGATCTGGGTTCCTAATCTACCTTTGCCACTGAAGACTGTGAGTTTATCGTACATATCACTTCCTTTCTTTACGCCTCAGTTTCCTAATCTGTAAAACTGGAATAATAATACCTGCCTTGCAGAATTTTGGGGAGGATGAGAGGGGATGACTTAAACATAATGACTGGCATGTAGTATGTGCTCAGTAGCTACCATCTTTGTTACTGGTGCTATTGATCCACTGTATTGGAAAGAGGACTAGACCCGAATTTAAGTCAGTAACACTAGACCATAGCTCCTTGAGGGAAGGTCTGTATTTTATTTGTTTCTTTAGCCCTAGACAGGGGGTTAGCAAATTACAGCCTGCAGGCCCAGTCCAGGCCTCTGCCTGATTTTGTAAGTGAAGTTTATTGGAACATAGCCACGACCATTCATTTCTTAGCTTGTCTATAGCTGTTTTCTTGCTACAGCGTCAGAGTTGAGTACTTGCAAAGCTGAAACTATGTACCCTCTGGCCCTTTATTGACAGTTTATTGACGCCTGCCCTTCCTAGATCATAGCATAAGACCTGGTAAATAGCAGATGTTCAGTATTTTATTTCTTTAATTCTCAACCCACAAGCTGAATTCCAGCTCTACCGCTATCTTGCTGTGTGACCCTGGGTAAGTCCCTTCCCCTCTCCGGGCCTCAGTTTCCCAAACCTCACCCTCAGAGAGTTTGATTTAGTAGGTCTGGGCAGGGGCCCTAGAATCTGATTTTTTAAAAAACTTCCCAGATAATTGATCTGCAGCCAATTCTGGTGTCACTTGCATTGCTCTCAAATACTAGTGAGCAAATGAATCACCTGCAGAGTCCATTAAAAATACAGACTCCAGGGACCCATTCCTGGAGATGCTGATTCAGTAAATCTTGGGTGTCATTTGAGTCTGCAAATCAAATGCAATGCCAGGGAAGCAATAGGGAGTGGTGGGGACTGTGGTGAGCTGAAGAGCCCGTGCCCTGTCTGAAGGGGCAGCCACTGCCCAGCTGTCACTAGTCGTTTTGACGTAGAAATGTGGTCCTGGGGTTGCCAGATCTATTTCTATTTTAAAGGGAAGCCAGAAATCTTTTCTGTGAACTCTTCCACTTTTTAAATGTTGCCAGCTTCTTGAAATGTAAAACATTCTGCTGACCTGGATTGTTAGTCTATAACCTCTGGCTAAATAATTTCTGAGATCCATCCCAGCTATAAACATCTAGGATTTAATTTATTTAACAAACATTTAAAAGACTCTTACAGATATTAACAAATATTGTTAATACTTTACAAATATTAGCTCATTCAATCCTCCTGACACCCTTACTGCTATCTCCATTTCGCAGATGAGCAAACTGAGAACTGAGACGTTAGTAAGTGTCAGAGCTGGAATTTGAACCCAGGCAGGAGTCCCTGGGTGGCACAAATGGTTAAGTGCTAGACTACTTGCCAAAAGGTTGGCATTTCGAAAATCACCCAGAGGCATCTCGGAAGACAGGCCTGGCAATCTGCTTCCAAAAGGTCACAGCCTTAAAAACCCTATGGAGCGGTTCTCCTCTACACACGTGAGGTCGAATCAACTGGACGGCAGCTAACAAGAAGAAGAAGACTGACTCCAGAGCCTTGCTCCCACCCCCTCCTCTTGCTGATACTGTTCTTTTTCTATCCCGTGAGCACAGCAGACAGCCCGGCCCACCTTCTTTGCCCGAAAGTTTGAAGCCGTGGTGAATCAGGAAATCATCGGGCAGCTGGACTATTACCTGTATGGGAACTACCCTGCAGGCACCCCGGGCCTCCGTTCCTACTGGGAGAACGTCTATGATGAGCCTGATGGCGTCCACAGCCTGAGCGACGTGGCGCTCACCCTGTACCACTCCTTCTCCCGCCTGGGCCTCCGCAGGGCTGAGATGTTGCTGCACACGGATGGGGAGAACAGCTGCAGGTGAGCCCCAGAGAGGGTGGGTGGGAGGCAGGGAGGGAGCCAGTGCCCAGGGACCAGAAAGGAGATTCCAGGTGCAAAAGAGGAACCTTCCTCCTTTTTTGTTGTTAGCTGCCATGTTGAGTCGACTCCGACTCATGACGACCTTACATACAACAGAATGAAAGGTGGCCTGGTCCTACGCCATCATCGTGACTGCTGGCATGTTTCAGTTTCTCATGGGGCTCTTGTGCCAGTCCATCTCCCTGAGGGTCTCCAGTGCCCTCACTGGCCCTCTGCTTCACCACACATGATGTCCTCCTCCAGCAGTGGATCCCTTCTGATGATGTGTCCAATGCAAGCGAGCCAGACAGTGTTCTGTTGTGATCCACAGGAATTTCATTGGCCAGTTTTCAGAAGTAGATCGCCAGGCCTTTCTTCCTAGTTTGTCTTAATCTGGAAGCTCTGCTGAAACCTGTCCACCACAGGTGACCCTGCTGATATTTGAAATACCAGTGACATAGCTTCCAGCATCACAGCTACATGCAAACCACCACAGACGGGCAGTGGTCCTCCTTTATAGGGGCAGCAGTTTCACTTCATATTCTTCCCTTTCTTCCTTTGCCTAAAAAAAGTGTGTAATTATCCCAGCAGTCATAGTTTTCCGGTCTAAGGCATCGCCACACTTTCTCCTTGTTCAGAGTACCAGGTCTAATATTTACGTAGATGTTCCTTTCAGTTGACTCACTGTTTATGCTAAATATATGGACGCGTATTTAGAGGGAAGCTTTGCATCACTGTGTTCTACGGGAGTGTTTGTCTTAAACTGGAAGGTCACCGTGAAAATATAGTACTGTTTGAAAAAATTTTTTAAATTTGGTCTAAAAGGTCAAAGATAATACAAAATAGAATAACATAACCCCCTGTTCCCATCATCCAGCTCTAGCAGTTCCCTACTCTGAGCCAGTCTTGTTTTATCTTCACCTTTGCCCCCTGCCCACCTCCTCCCAGATCAGTGTAAAGCAAACCCCGGGCATCATATCATTACAACCATAAATATTTGAATCTGTAGCTCTGAAAAAATAAGGAGTGCTTTTTAAAACAACCCGAACACCATTATCACACCTAAAAATATAAATTAAAAAAAAAAAACTTTAAAGTGTGAAACCATTATTTAAAATGTTCAGCTGCCACTTAGAATCATGTCACCTATGACTAGTGGGTACCAACTGACGCTTTGGAAAAGAATGTTTTAGAATATACGGAAAGAAGAGGGGAAGGTAGGGCAATAATTTGTCAGAATCCTTCCCCTACTCCTCCCTTTCTCGAAGCCAACCAACGCTTTCTATTCTGTGAGTCTTTTCTCTCTTTTCTAGCAGTATTGTGTTGCGGATATTTACCTAATTGCAGCAAGAATTTGGTATCCTGTTTTTTCGTTTGGCATTATACTGTTAGCCCCTTTTCCCCACGTTGCTCTGCAGTTTCCGTAATGATAATGATCCTTTTTTAACGCCACTAGTATTCCATTGAGTAGAAATTCCAGAGTTTGCTTAATCCAGTCCTTCACTGTTGCTATTGTCGGTAATGTGCTTTTCTAAATAATGTTCTGATGAATATCTTTCTGCTGAAAGCCTTCCTCCCTCCCCTTCTCTTTTCTGATTGTTTCCCTTCTCTCTTCGGATTGTTTCCTTAGGATAGATTCCCAGAAGTGCCTCTAATCACTCGCCTTCTCTTTCTTGTCCTCCCCTCTCCCCTCCCGCATCTCTTTTAACAGCAAAGCAAACCTTTCGTTTGTTCGGTTTGTGTGTTTGAGCACCAGCCTCTCTCCGCTGCCTGTGTATCCCTCCTTGCCCTCTTCTTCCCTCTTCTCAGGAAGGGGAGAAGGAAGGAACTATTTTATTCCCTAAAACTCTGAAAACCCAGGCAGATTTCTGTCTGGCGCCTCGGACATAACCAGCTGGGTTACTGGGTGAGAGGACAGCGCTTTTTCATTGTCTCCACGTGTCCCCCGCCTTCTCTCTCACTGCAGATTCTGCTTTAGTTTCAAGGGAGACTCGTGTGGGTTAGGACCCTTAGGAACCCAGGACCTGCAGTTTGAACTCAAGTCTACTTGCTAGCTGTTGACCTTGGGCAAGTCACTTAACCTCTCTGAGCCTCAGTTTCCAAATCTGTAAAATGAGAGTAATAACCAATTTTAAAATAATAATAATACTTCATAAGGTGTTTTGAGGCTTAAAAGAGATACCAGAACTACCTTATGAGTTACATATTATCATGATCCACCTTTTAACGGTGTTTTACATACTGATGCTCAATAAATGTTCATGTCAGTATTGGTACCTTGTTGTCAGTTATGTTCCTAACGGTGTTTCACCTCATGCGACCTTAAGTATAATAGAACAAAACGTTGCCCGATCCTGCACCATCTGCATGATCCTTGGTATGTTTGAGTCTGTTGTTGGGGCTATTCTGCCGTTCCCTCTCATAAAGGGATTACTTAGTGTTCGTTGGCCCTCTATTTTACCAAACATGATGCCTTTTGTAACAATTGGTCTTTCCTGATGACATGTCCACAATAAGTATTATGAGTGCCTTCCAACCTGGGGGCTCATCTTCCAGCACTACATTAACAATATTCTCTTGTGACCCACAGGGTTTTCATTGGCTGATTTTTTTTAAGTAGATTGCCAGGCGTTTCTTCCTAGTCAGTCTTAGTCTGGAAGCTCCACTGAAACTTGTCCACCATGGGTGACCCTGCTGGTAATTGAAATAGTGGTGGCATAGCTTCCCGCATCATAGCAATGCACAGCCACCACAGTATGACAAACTGGCAGACGGGTGGTGGGTCGTTACCTTAGTTGTCATTATGATAAAGCCCCCAGAAGCTGTCAGCAGTGAACCTATTATGAGACACTTGCCCCTGAACTGATTTTAGGAACTACTCATTGTTCTCTCGCTGTGCTTTGCTTTGCTCATTGTCTCCATCATCCCTAACTGCCGGCCCTTTCCCAGTTTTCCAAGAGCCATCTCAAGTGCTACCTTCTCTGCAAGCTTTTTAATACCTTTTCCTGACAGCCTCTCAGCTACCCTCACCCAGGCGGAAAGTAGCTCTGGAACCTGACCTCCAACACCTCGGCTGCATGTACCAAAGGTTCCTAGGGTCAAGGTCACAGGCAATGTCTTTTCTCCCTCCTAGTCTGGGGCAGTATCCAAGCCTGCAGAACCACAGCACGTATCCCAGGTGTCTTAGTTATCTAGTGCTGCTGTAACAAGTACCACCAGTGGGTGGCTTTAACAAACAGAAATTTATTCTCTCATAGTCTAGGAGGCTAGAAACCCGAATTCAGGGCTCCAGCTCCAGGGGAAGGCTCTCTCTCTGTCGGCTCTGGGGGAAGGTCCTCGTCATCAATCTTCCCCTGGTCTAGGAGCTTCTCAGCATAAGGGACCCCAAGTCCAAAGGACACACTCGCCTCCCTGTTCTTCATTCTTTGTGGCATGAGGTCCCCCTGTCTCTCTGCTTGCTTCTCTCTTTTATATTCTCAGAAGGGATTGACTCAAAATACAGACTAGTCCTGTAGATTCAGTCCTGTCTTCATTAACATAACTGCCTCTAATCCTGCCTTATTAACATCTTAAGAGGTAGGATTTACAACACATAAGATAATCACATCAGATCACAAAATGGTGGACAATAACACAATACTGGGAATCATGGCCAACCAAGTTGACACACATTTTTGGGAGACACAGTTCAATCCCTAACACCAGGCAGTGGGAAGTGAATGTCATTCGAAAATAGTTTTTATCACAGGCGTCACAGAATTTATAAGGTAACTGATCTTGTAGGAAATTTCAAAAGACACCCCCAATTTATTTAGTGTTGTTGAAATTTCCCCCGGGGCTTGTTCTAGAATCAAGTGAGCCATCCTTGCCTCAGGCCTGGGGTCCCTTGATGTCTACCTCATTTTTTATCATAACGGAGCCATTGGACCTGCTTTGGGCAAAGTCAATGTATTTAGGAATATGAACTTGTAAATAGATCAGGCCAAAGGGCCCTGTATTCATTTCCTAGAGCTGCCATAACAAATTACCACAAAATGGGTGGCTTAACACAACAGAAACGTATCATCTCACTGTTCTGGGGGCCTGCATCCGAAATCAGGGTGTCGGCAGAGCTGCGCTCTTTGAAGGCTCTGAGGAGCTACCTTCTTTGCCTCTTCCTAGCTTCTGTTGGTCCCCAGCAATCCTTGGCGTTCCTTGGCTTACAGACGCGTCTCTGCAGTCTCTGGCGCCGTCGTCACATGGCGTTCTCCCTGTGTGTCTGTCTCCATGGGATTTTCTCCTCTCTGTGTCCATATATCCCTTTTCTTATAAGGACATTAGTCATTGCTTTGGGGCCACCCCAGTGCAGTGTGACCTCAACTTGACTAGTTACATCTGCAAAGACAGTATATCCAAAGAAGTTCACATGATGCGTGAGGTTCCATATGAACATCAATTTTGGAGGGACACTGTTCAACCCAGTAAGACCTTTAGCCCAAAAGGCAAAAGACAGTGAATTTCTACCCCTGAGGTATCTGGGGAGACAGCAAGTGAAAACTTTACTTCAAGAGTCTCATTTTATTTGGACAATTCATGCAAATCATGCCTTTCTGGTGTATAGGATAGCCTTTTATAAAAATAATATTATTGATTTTTCTTCTCGTTATAAAGTAACACGTGTTCACTGTTGACATTTTTGAAATGGCAGATTGAGAGAAGAAAATACAGTTCAGTTGTAATCCACCCCCCAGAAATCAGAACTATCAGTATTTTGTTGTTGTCGTTGTTAGCGGCCGTGGAGTCAGCCCCCGACTCGTGGTGACCCCAAGCACAACAGAACGGAACGCTGTCCGTTTCTGCGCCATCCCCATGATCAGTTGCAGATCAGACCACTGTGATCCATAGGGTTCTCATTGTCTGATTCTCAGAAGTAGATCACCAGGCCTTTTTTCCTAGTCTGTGTTAGTCTAGAAGCTCCACCG